TGACTGCAGAGAGCTGCATCATACGTGAGTCAGAGAAAGGGATATCGTGATACTGTGGGGAGCCGTACTATTATCAAGTCAGTGAGAGAATGTCGCAAGACTACGGGGGAGACCGTAGCACTCAATAGTCGATAAGGGTGAATACTGTCCCACCGGAAGATGTAGTATTCACTAGTCTGAGCATGCCGCAAAGGAGTTTTTAGGCTTGGGCAGCCTTACCACATGATTCTTCGGGAACTTGATTGTCGAACTAGGGGCGAGACTGGGGTCTCCCTGTCGGTCAATAATTGTTATATCCCAGGTTAAGAATGGATTATCGTAATCGGAAGGAATTGGAGATATGGTGTGTGCATAAATCCACGAATCTTGGGCCATGACTTGAGTACCAGATTGGAATTGAGTGGTTCTAATTCTGCTGTCGAATCACACTCTCGAGCTTGAGTTTGGATTCGTTCGTGTGTTGAGTAGGCGAGATGAGGTTTCGTATTCGTAGATGGGTTCATTTTGGGAGGTATTGTTCTCCATCAGATGTCTTAGACCAGAGTGAGTTAGTTTCGTCGGTATGGGAAGAACCGCGAGACGCGTGGAATCAGTGGTTGGTAGACGATAGATGTCGAAGGTGAGAAGATTTCAGATGAGTTGTAGTATTCGCTTGGGATAAAGCGAACTTCGTGACTTGTGTTTCGCGATAAGATGAGATAGGTATTGTAAGAAGGAAGTTGGTAAGACGGCCTTGATATGCAATGAGTAACCTTTGGAGGTTCATCTATTGGGTCGAGAGTTGACCTGGTGCTCAGTGATGAAGGGGACATTTGAGAGGGAGATGGGGCTTATGTCTGTAGAGGTCATAGGATACTTCCAGTCAAGTATGATCTTTTTCTTGTGTTTGATGTTAGAGTTTTTGGTTTCATCCTTTCCGATGAGTTCTGAATAGTCGTTCTTGTAGTGGGTCCTTAGGGGAGGGAAATTATGACCTTTCTGTCCTTTTGAGTTGCAATCGCGATCGATTAGAGAATCAGGGTGGGAAGAGTGTTCCTAGAGTCTGTTAGTCAATGGGCGATTAGCATAATGATGATTTTCAAGGTTGGTCTGGCAGGGAGATAGACCACTAGAGTTTTCGAGTTCTGGAGAGTCATGTCGAGTACCGCAGCGGCAGATAGGTCTGTCCTTCTTCGGGTCGGAAGTCCCTGTTGGGATCATGTAACACCCAAAAATTCAAGCCAATTTAAAACTTTTTAAACAACCCAAAAACCATTAGTTATTACAAACTTGTTTTCAAAATGTATAATATCAGAGTATCCCAGAAACATAGTCATAAAAAGTGAGGATCTGTACGATCACGCCTTTGCCTTGCCACGATCCCCTAATGTACCTGAAACAATAAACTGAACTGTAAGCCCGAAAGCTTAGTGAGTTACCCCCAAAATACCGATACACATACAATCCACATAAACATATCATAACAAACCGGACAGAATAGCACATAACGGGTCCACAGCCCTACAGACTGTAATACCCACGAGCCCACAATACGAGTCTCCCTTAGCCCGTAACTGGAATGCTCCCGAGCCCACATTACGAATCTCCCTTAGCCCGTAACTGGAATGCTCCTAGGGTTTGTTGGCTACCGCACGAAGTAGTACAACCTCAAACCATCCCATATAACAAACACTACATAACCACTAAGCATGCAATAATCATATAACATCAAAGGTAGTCCTACAGGTCTACCTAACTGGCATAACCACTATCATGCAACACTAACTCATACTCAACATCTAACAATTCTAGGATAACATATCCAATAGGTCGGCCTTGGTGCCTTAGACCCCTTAGTATAGTGAGAATAACTCACCTGACACTGCTGAAGTCCCGCAGGTAAAGCTCCCGCTGCTGTTTGACAGATTCTCGAACTTTCCACATCAAACAATACCCAATTAATAATTGGGTACCAAGCCCAAGGTCCAACTCACACTACAAAAGCCTAAAAGTAAAATAATGGGCCAAATCCCAACATATGACCCAATTTTCCGAATTGGGCCCAGAACTCTACATGGTCTTTCCTTAAGGCCCATTCGATTATTCCAATCCAATTCCCATGGCCCATTATCACATAGTCATAAAGGCTCAATTATGGCCCAATAAGTCTTCACATGGGCCTTATTCTAAAGCCCATCTACTTATTTTGGTCCATTAACTTGTTCTTGGACAACCCATCAATAGTAAAATCGCCAAAACCCAATAGGAAGGCCCAACTCAAGGCCCATGTGAAATTTGGGTTTCACATAAAATGACAATTAGGGTTAAGTGTTTCTCACTTAACCCATTAAGGACTTAATCCATTAAGTCCCTTACTTTACTAAATAAGTCATATGGTGTGCTTGGGCTTAATACACAATTCCATTCCAATGGCCCAAATGTGGGTCCCGATAAGTCCAAGCCCATAATCCCAAAATTAGGGTTTTCACATGAAATGATGATTAGGGTTAAGTGTTTCTTACTTAACCCATTAAGGACTTAATCCATTAAGTCCATTATTGCCTTAAATTAAATTTCCAATAATTATTATTTAATATTTCAAGTTTATTAAATAATTCTCATGTGTGTGTGTCCCGACCATTTCCCCCAAATTAGGGTTTTATGCCATTAGGGTTTTCCTACACAATCTTAGCCCATTAATCAATTGGTTGGGCTATTAGGTCACTTTGGGCCTCATTGGGCCCATTAAGGTCTCATTGCGCCCACTAGGGTTTCTTTGGGCCCATTAGGGTTTCATTGGTCCCACATTGTCCAAACATCCCCCAAACGAGGTCCAAACGCAATCAAAGCACACCACCACCCGACACGGCGGCCGGTGGCGGCAACCACCACCCTATGGTGGTGGTGACGGATTTTCTTTTCCATTATTCCATTTTGTTACAATTTACAACACCATCCAATTAACACACACTCACACATACTAATAAACACACACACACAAACATAGCCACCTAATGGCGGCAGGCGGCTGTTCATGGTGGCAGGACGAAGGCGACCACAGCAACGACGTTGACGGCGGCAGCGGTGGTTGCGATGAAGGCCATCCCTCACGGTGGTAGCAGTGGTCTGCTTCTGGATTCACAGCCCAATATCCTGTCACCTACGCAAAAAGATGACGTGAGTCGGTAGCCCTCAGCCACCAACTGAGGTGATGCTACGATGGCGAGGCGGAGGAACGGCGGCTGAACCCAACGGGTGATCTTCCGGCTTCAATGGATACATCAGCGGTGATATTTGGTCCGATGATCCACGGACCCAATCCTCACGGAGGCTATTCGTCATGGTTGTTGGTAGTAGCGCTCAACAGGGCAGCAGCGCATCTGGCGACTTTGGTCTTCGGCTGTGGTGGTCGCAACCCCCACCGGAAACGACTACAGCAGCTTCGTTCCCGGTTCACCCATTGACCTTTGGTATCTTCGGTCATGGAAGACGTCATTGGGGTCTCGGCTGGTCATCATAGGAGAAGTGGTGATGGCGCCGGAGATAGGAGGGGAAGAGAGGTGGTGACGGCTGGAGGAAGGTGGGGTGAGGGAAGGGTGGCGGCTGATGCATCAATTAGGTTTAGGGTTTAGAAGGTGACGGAAATGAAGATATATACCCTCCTCCAATCAAACTTCATTCCATAATACCATAATTGGCCCCTCCCCATAGGATTCTTTTCACAACAATTCCATAATTTACATTTCCTACCCTTGCTCACATAATTCCTTTCAAATTAAATCAAAATAATACCAAACACCCCTTGACTTATGAGAATCTTTACAAATTAAGTCCCGAACTTACACTTTAACCCTCGGAAATCAAAAGTATAACATTTGGCACCCTGAAACCAACACCCCACTAATTATTAATTAATTTGAGCTCTAATAATATAAAATAATCATAATAATTACTTCTAAGGGTCCCTACTTAAAACGGGATGTTACAGATCATGTGTTTTTGGAAGAGATTGTTGTATGATATCAGGCCCTTCGGTGGTGCTTCTCGGGTTATTGGGATCGATCTATGTGTTGGTAAGGAGCGATTTCGAGGGCGAAATCTAATTCAAGTGGGGGAGAACTATAACATCCTGTTTCGGATCGTCTGAGATTAGGGTTGTGGGCTGCAGCTCGGCCATGAGGAAGTCTCGAGGTTGCGACGAGTTGTTGGAAGCATTGAGCATCTCGACGCCTTTCCGAGGATACGAGATTAATTGGAAACAGAGTTATATCGAGGAAGCAATGGAAGTTTGAAGTTATGCACTACTAGAAAAACAGCCTTTTACGACGCGCAATGCGCCTCGTAAAACGCTCAGATGACGCGCAAATGCGCGTCAAGAAAGGCCCTGTCATAACGAGAGACGGCGCGCTTTTGCGCGTCGTCTATTTACGACGCGCTCTTACGACACGCAATGCGTGTCAAGGAAGGCCCTGTCATAAAGAAGACGTCACACATTTGCGTGTCGTAACCTTCGGACGCACATTTACGACGCACATCGCGTATCATTAAAGCCCCTGTCATAAAGAAAGACGAAACACGTTTTTGCGTGTCATAAAGTTAAATGTTTTAAAAATTATATATTTTGATAGATTTACTAGTTTTTAAATTAAATAGCACATTAAAAATCTCATAATACAAAATAAAATACCATAAATAACAAAGATAATTCATTTCACTAATATGTCAAATACAAATAATTATTTCAATAGTGAGTAAATCTTATAAAAAAATGAACTCAAGAGAAGCAGAATTTATATACAATTGCATTATTTAGCTTACTATGTGCCAACAACTCTCTGTGTGTTTGCTTTTGCTTGAGTCTCGTTTCGTCCAAAGCTTCTAGCCATGCCAAAGTATGATATCTTAGGGTTCATGTCCAAATCAAGTAACACATTGCTAGCTTAAATTCATCAAGTTCTTGGCGTGAAGTCTTAGATAGAAGCTTAACTGCAATCTCCAATCCTTCTAGCAGACCCTAAAGATCATAATTGGCCATGTAGCAGGATCAACCTGCCAAAATTGGATAAGTTAAGAATATGCAACAAGATTGGTGAAAAGACATAAATGCCCCTACCTTGTATTCAACAGTAGCAATGTTTTGGCAAGAACTGGAATTGAAGAAGAATTGGAATCTATAACGCGTTTGGTTGGCAGAAGATCCAACTACAAAATTTGATGATAACCAGCATACTACAACGTTAATAATGGGGCTTAGATTGCGTATGCTTGTATAGTTGTAGAAATTGGAATTGAAATAACATAAATTTATGGAATCACTAGTAGGATTTTGTGAATCAAATGGAATTCAATTCCAATTTCTGAGGAATCCAACCACCTCAAAAGGTAAGGTATATACAAGAAAACTAAAGGTAATAATATAACAGCGTACCTCCTCATATCGCCCATGCGCGTACAAGAGTGGTCTCCACCTAAATTAATAACCAAAAATATATGCCCAAACTCAAATGGATTACTTTTTAAAAAAATTAGATTAACTAAGAGCTTTCAACCAAAATATAAACAACACAAGTTTGCACACATTACATTACATCATATTTTCATCATCTCATTTTGCTATGCAGTATGCATGTATGGATGGATGGATGTACCTCACGAAATGTCATAAGGCTTGGCTTGTCTCCAACAGGTGGCATTTGGTTGCAGACCATATGGGCAATTGGTAACCTAACAGAGTTTTTGTCATCTGATGTACACAACTTCTTGGAACAACTTCATCCATCCATGCACCACCTCTTTTCTCAGTTGGGCGAGAGTATGGGTCAAAGTAAAAATAGGAAATGGGTTTGCCCAATAAATCTTTGATACGATAAAATCTGACATCAGCATTCCAAACATACACATTTAGAAGAAAAAAAATACATAAGAAAGAAATGAAATCCCAGATGACAAAAAAATAGATAATTTAGAATTTAGATTATATCTTACTGGTGCTAAACCATCAGCATCACCTAATTTTCGTGTAATTTTTGTTGGGCATCCATCCTGACACCAGGGCCGGTCCAAGCAAATCTGAGGCCCGGGGCAAATACAAAAAGAGGTCCTTCAAGTTAATACTAGCATTAGCATATGGATTTACTGAGCATGCAATGAATCATAGTAATACTCTTTCACATGATAAAACTCCAGAAAATATGTAGCCATATACAAGTAAAACCCCTTTCAAAACACATCTTCGCTTTTATTGATAAGTTGATTAAGATGTATCTATGTATATGACCAGTAACTTTTGCAATTAGCAAGAATACATAAAGACAAGTATGCCTATAATCAAATAACTTATTAAGAATCTTCTTGCATTGTGCAACAATATTAAAGAAATTAAATAACTGTAATGAAAAAAATAGACCAAAAAGGTAAGGAAACCGCATCAATGTAAATTACATCTTATTTTAATTGCTATAGTACCTAAATTGTTCTAGTCTTAAAAGGCAAAAACACAAATAAAAGTAGACACCCTTGTTGGTGTAAAATCCATAACAGTATGTATATATATATATATATATATATATATATATATATATATATATATATATATATATAAGGAAAAGGAAAAGGAGGACTTCCTTGAAACCTGAACAGCAGCATTGGCTGAGAAGAATGTTTCGTTTTTGTGACCAGCTAGAGAACCAGCAAGATCATTAGCCCAGATGCTCCTTCCATCAACAACTCCAGCAAAAAGGTATTTCCCTGTTGGGAAGCTGCTCTTGATCAAGTCAAGAGTCTTTTCACCACGGATCAAATCAAAAGTGAAACCAGCAACTCCAGGCAATGAAGTTAGGGTTTTGAATGCTTCAGCTGGAATATCAGCAATGTAGGTAGCAACAATAACATTAAGACCAGAGCAGGCTGATTCTAACTCAGAGTAGGCCTTGGTGAAACACATGGAATCCAATGAGAAATTCAATGAGCATATCAAGAACACATACAGCCTTAGACATGATGGTTGAAACACATGGAATCCAATGAGAAATTCAAGTGTAGGACCCAAAAAAAAGTATGTGTTTTTATAGTATGCTTAATTATCTATTATGTTGTAGACATGAGTTCCCTTGTCAATACCTGCAAGCTGTCATATTTTTTGTTTATCTCTTACCAATGTAATTTTTTTTATCATCCTCTTTGTTAGAATTCTTTTGACCGATTCCATTCTTTCCAAAAACATCAGCTTGTACAAGATTATATGTATACGGTTTGGTAGTAATGAGATAAAACAAACATATGACAAAGTTGTCCTCAAGATTTGAAAATGAATATTTTATATTGATTGTTTCCAATCAAATTTAGATACATGATATAATTTTTTAACAATGTAATTAAAAAATTATACATAAACTATTTTATATAATAATAATAATAATAATAATAATAATAATAGTAGTAGTTAAATTAAAAACATTATTTTTATTGTCATCCTTTCCTCCACCAGTCTATGATTTTCCCTTAATTTTCCTTAGTAACGTCTCCAGGGGTAAAATGGTCAAAACTTCAGATGACAATTCAGACAACAACTATACATTCGAGATAAGGTTTCCAAGTTTATTCAGTTGGAAAATATCAAGTAATAAAAAGGGAAAAGTTGTATGAAACAAACTTGAAAATCAAAAAACAAAGAAATGGCGAATGAATCGAAAATCATGCGTCCATGAAGGCAACAAAAAAAACAACATAGAAATTAGTCAACAAAAAAAAGCAACAAACAAGCAACATAGAAATTAAAGGAGTTCCCCTGGTTGCACACGCCCTGCCCTACCCCTTCTCTAAACCAACAAAAAAAGCAACATAGAAATTAGTCAACTACCTTGACCAACAAAGTCAAAGGGTAAAAAGGTAACTTACTTGGCGAGTAGATGCTTGTGATATCCATGAAGGCAACAAACAAGGAGTGGTGCAGTTTACGAAGCTCTGAATTAATATCAGAGCTTGTTGCAAAAAGATCAGGTAAAATACACAGAAGTGAGTCTTGCATTTTTCCACCAATCACAAGCAATCGATGACTGCAGAGTTTCAGTAAAAACTGAAGAGCCTGCAACAAAGTATTTGTTTGTAATAAGATAATATATTCATGACGAACAGAGATGGACATACAATTATCAGGTTACCTGGAAGACATGAGAAGATGTTTTGGATGCATCTTTTCCTTCAGCTTAACCTTCCCCTGTTTCTGTTTCGTTTGATTGGACCATAGTGGAAATTTCATTTTTGACATGTGAACCTGAAAACTGTTCATAAAGTTTAATTTGAACTGGACTCAAGTCACAGTATCTATCTTGAATTATTTTCTCTGGTAGATCTGTCAACACTTGGTCTTTCGTGCGATGCAGGAGGAAAGGCATCACCTACAATGTAAATTATTATTATTATTATGATTATGATCATGGTCATGCATTGGCATTTGGCATTTGGCAGATGAAGGAAAAATACCTGTTTGTGCAATGCTTCCATGGCATGTACACCTGCTTCAGCATCCTTGGCTGAACATTTAGAATCACGAGCTGCAGCTAGTGGTTTCCCATAAGTTGCTTGAAACTACAAAAACACCCAAAATCAGTTGCATTGCATAACATATTATATTAGTGTAAATGATATAAAAACATACCTGTCTCTCTGTTCCAAGAAATCCGGGCATCAAAAAGTCAAAAAAAGACCACAACTCCAACACATTATTCTGCATAAAACAAACCATAGTCTATTTAACTAAACTAATCAAATCTCCAATTCAATGAGCAAATAAACAAACCTGAATTGGTGTTCCACTTAATATAAGCCTATGTTGTGCCTTGAGCTGTTTGACAACACATGTGATTTTCAATTTTGCATTCTTAATTATATGCCCTTCATCCAAAACACAATAGTTCCAAAACATCTGTCTCAAATGCTAAACATCTATACGAATCACATTGTAGTTTTGAAACTGTGAAGATATAACAGAGGCATCAATGAAGATATAACAGAGGCATCAATGAATTTTTCAAACTCATATACATAGTGTCCAACAAGGGTAGATGGGCAAATGATTAAAGATGGAGGGTCCTCATTGTTATTTGAAGTTCTTCGTTCCACAATATCAGATGCCATAATTGCTGATGCTTGTAGGGTTTTACCAAGCCCCATATCATCACATAAAATTTCATGAAGGTTAAACCTCTTTAAAAAGGCTAACCAGTTTATACCCTCTTGCTGATACCTTCTCAGGGTGACTTTCAACTCAGTAGGAACATTATAATCATCAATATGTGAGTTATCAACAAGTTGTTCCAAGAACTCAGCATCATCACTACTTCTAGACAACAGGCATTCACTCAATCTAGGAGGAGGAGAGACACCACGTGCAAGGGGTAAAAGAGGGACAAGGGCAGCAAAGCTGTGTGTGACACTTCTTCTAACAGAATGATCACAATCACTCATACACCTTAAAAAAGGGACAACTAACAGCCTTGCATAAGGAACAAGATCAGTGCCTAATCCTTAAACAAGCAGACTCATTAGCATCCCTACTCCTTGTCTAGCATTGACAGATGTCATGTCAATAATATGAGCTACTAGATGTCTGTGCTATCCACTTCCTTTTTCACTAAAGTGGTGTGTAGGCATTTAAACAAACAGTTGGTCTGCAACTGCAAATCTACCAAATTAGAGAAAACACTTATACTAATCAAACCATACGATGTTGATAGAAAATTTAAAGCAAGATACAAATTAGGGCTCACGTTATCAAAAATAAAAAATGAAGTCACCTTTAAGGGAACTTTGGTGGCATACGATGATGATAGAAAAGATGAATGAAGGGGGTATATTTGGGAAGAACTATAAGATCCCTTGTGGTAGGGAGGCGATGAACAGATGAAACGAGCCCTAACAAATCCAGAGCACCGTACGGTAATAATGGAGCACAGTAGCCGACAACACTTATATGTTTCTCTGTTTGTCAAATCAATGTAGGGTTTGGGGTTTGAGAGTGAAAAACCAGTCAATCGCGTGAAGATTGAAGAGTGAAGTCGAATTGAGGGGAAGTTGTACCAGGTTTTAGGGGAGAAGTCGAACCAATTGGTCTTCTTCACAACCATTACAGGTTGCATTTTTCTGATGAAGTTGTTTTTGAAGATGAACGTGAGATGACAGAGCGTCAATAGAGAGAAATTGTAGGGTTTCGGGAGATTTTAGAAGAGAATCAGTACAAGTTATTTACGGAGGGAGGAAGAAGAAGGGCAAGGACTTAAAAAATTAGGGGTATTTCATTTCCCCGCTTAAAACGCGTGTTTCATTAAAAAATTATAAAGCGACACACTTAGATGACACACATTTTATGAAAGGCGCCCTCCGTATTTTAATTTTTTTCTTTTCTGACACTAATTTTAGGGCACGCACAAATGCGTGTCCTCTATACTTCATATTTTGCAAACCTAACATTATTTTTTAGGGCATGCACAAATGCTTGTCCTCTATCAGCGCGTGTCATTGTTTGCGCGTCATTAAAGGGCTGTTTTCTAGTAGTGATGGCAGGACAAGTCCTTTAATTGAAAAAGGTGGCAACGGAGTACGCTGGGTGTATGTGTGTGTACGCTTAGCATACTCATGTGCGTGATATTTAAGCAGAGCCACCTAGTACGTTGGGCGTACCAGAGGGTACGCTGGGCGTACTAGGCACAGAATGGAAACCCTAACTTTGGATGTGTCCCTATATAAAGAATGAGATGGCCTCATTCCTGGCCACCATCCTCAGTCAATAAACCCTCTAAACCATAATCCTTCGTTCATGGAGCTTGTGAGTGCATTTGAGAGCCTTAAATGATATTGGTGTGTTCTTGGAGTTCAGAAGGAGCTTTGGAGAAGAAGGAATGAGAAGTCCAGGCTATGGATCTGAGCATATCTGAGTTGAAAGCTTCATATAGAGGTATAAAGCTTCAATCTTTCTCACTCTTTTATTTTGAGCATCATATTAGAGTATTTTGGGGTTTTTGTCCCAAAAGGTAGAGACTTTATGAGATATTGAGCTCCAGAGACTATGATCAACCCCTTTGAGTCTATTTAGTGGTGTTATGTCATAAAAATCCAATCTTGGACGTTGGAATCAAGCCATGCATGAGATAAGAGCTTTTTGAGACAAGGAAGTGAGTGTTTTGGGTGTTTGTGAGCTTTTCAGCCATGCAAAGGCTTAAAGTCACTGACTTTAAGGAGTAAGTGCCATTAGGGAGTCCAGATCTGGGATTTGAGGTAATGTCTTAACTGTTTAAGACCAAATGAGTAGAAAGAGTGAATTTGGGGAGTAAGTTGAGCGTAATTCCTGTACGCCCCGCGTACTGCCCCAGTGTCCCCGATGGCCAATATGGATTCGTGAGTACGCTGAGCGTACCAAGAGAGGTACGCCCCGCGTAACCTTACTGTGGACTTTTGGGCTAAGTCTCATTTTAGGCCTTGAGTGTTGGGCCTGGATTTTGGGCTTGTTGCAATCGAATCTTGGACCAAAGGATTATATATATGTGCTTTGGGCCCATGAGTTGGGCTTGCCATTTAGATTTGAGAGTTGGGCCTCGGGAGAGCCCATTTATTATTAGGCCATGGTAGCCCTAATGGTTTTAGGTCATTGATGGGCTGTTTAGTGGACTACCTTTAGACCTAATGAGTGAGAGTTTGGACTTAGTTCCTAATTGGGATAATTGTGGGTTTTGGCACAAAGTTAGTGGTTGGTGTGTAGCAGCAGCGTTTATAGGGGCTGTTCATCATCCGAGGTGAGTCTTCTCACTATACTTACCATGAGTGGTATCTTTGTGGGACTGAGATGTCTTATGTGTTTATGTTGAGTACTGTGATATCCTGCATTATATATATATGTGATTCATGTTGTGTATTATTATGAGCTTATTGGGTTAGGAGCGTGTAAGTCCC